ATGACCAAAATAGGTGAGACGAAGTCTGGCCATTCTTGCTTCCAAGGAGCATTCTGGCTGCACTTCCTCCAGGACAGATCTGTTAGTTCTTTTAGCAGTAAAATGTTCATAGCAACCCTGTATGTAACATCAAAATCCTGGAAATGATCCAGATCACATCAACATGATAACAACTGAATATATTGCAGAACATTAGTCAGCAATAAAATGAAAAAACCAAAACCAGAGACCTGCTATATTAAACTACACAGAATAAATCCGAACACCGTATGTTGGGAGAAAAAGCAGTCCTGGAAGACTGTTTATGGTATGATTTTATTCATAGGAAATTTAGAAGTAAACCAAACAAAATAGTATTTTGTTTGGGCAAAAATATATAAATGATAAACTATTTTTTTTAAAAAAAGTAAGGAAATGGTAAACCATAAAATTGAAGCCATGGCTAACCTTTGGTGGGAAGATAAGAGAATGCGATAATGGTGATAGAAAAAGGTCTAGTTCTTGAGTTAAATGGTAGGTTTGCAAATGTTCACACATATATTATTTTGCTGTGTAATTTATACATATATATACTTTTGCATGTGTTAAATATAACATTAAAGTTATATATTTCTTTTTCAGAAATCTGCCTGAACCTTCAAGATCCTCCAACTAATATAAGTATCATTTCAGAAAAGCAGGTGAAAACAGAATGGAAATTGCCAAAATTAAATAACCAATTTGTCACCAGGTAAAATAGTTTCTAAAATGTCTTAAATACTAATTTTCAGCATTAGTCACTGCAACATAATGCATTATGATTTGCTCAAAATCTACCCAAATTTATACTGTAGTAATTATGTAGATATACATTTTCATAATCATAACTGTAGACTGCTGTTCCACTGTTTAAAGATACAGTATTTATTTATTTATTTAAAAATTTTGCTTTTTTTTATTTTTTAGATCAGAGCTGGATGATTTGCCAGAAAATCAACTCTGTGATGTTGTTGGGGTTTTAGTTTTTGTAGGAAGGGTTCAGCGGTTAAAAAAGAAAGGTAAGTTTTTAAACTTGAAAGTCATAAACTGTATTTCAGTGAATAGTTTTGTGTTCATATGTGTATAATCAGTTAGCTTCATTCATTTTAATATTTTATCTATATAGAAAGCCGTGAAGAATTTTTGACATACCGCTGGATTCACATTGCTGATGGGACTTCAGAACTACCATTTATCGTGGAGTTATTTTCTACATCTCAGCCAGAAGTCTTCGAAAATATTAACCCAAGTACTCAGTTCTTATATTTTTATAGTTTAATTTTGAAAGTGGGGGCAAATGGTAAACTGACCTACAGAACTAGCATGATATTGAGTTAACAAATTCAAGCATTCTGACAACATGTTTAAATCTTTTCTATATTAATATTATATGTGACATTACATATATTAACCACCTACTTTGGAGAAGATTATCCTGGTTGTTTATTTAGAATTAATTTGGAATTGAAATCAGTTTTTCAGAAAACAGGTGCTCTTATCAATTACCATTGTTAGCATTTCATACATAAAAGTTTAAGATTCAGTAACATTAAAACATGTAGTCAATTCCCTTTGTATCCATTTGGAAATCAACTAAGTAGATCCCATTAAAGACATTGGAGGTTTTACTAATGTGGAATTAATTGGTAGAGAATTAACAGACTGTGTAATTAAGTAATGACAATGGTAAGTATGATTCTATTTGAGTACTAAATTAATATTAGATTGTTCATGTTATACCAGTTGTTCAATGTTTTGTAGCTCTGGTGGTGTAGTGCCTAAGGCATTTAACTGCTAACCAGAAGGCTGGCGGTTCAAACCCACCAGCCACTCCTCAGAAGGAAGATTGGGCAATCTACTTCCATAGTGATACCACTTCAGAAACCCAAGGAAGAGTTGCTGTGAGTTGGGTCTGACTCGAGGGTACTAACAACAACAAAAACAACACTCATTAAGATACAAAGATACTTATCTTTTCCACTCTTTTTGTTTATTTGAAACCTTTCAGGTATGCCATTATGTATTTCACACATCATGTTAGTCTTTAGCTCTACTATGATTAGAAAATATCTATATGTTTAATACTTTTCAATAAGTTCAGTGAATTTGTCATTGCTTGAATTCTGAGCATGAAACTACTTTAGAGATGGTATGATATTTTATTATTTTATTATATGAGTAAAACACTCACTGTTTTCTGTGTTAAATACTTTCCAGCGTTAGGGAAACTCCCAATCCTGACTACATCCAGTTTTTTTAACCACCAATGAAGTAGAAGTTGTAGAACACCAAACGTCCTAGAAACTGTATGCAGGGCAGTTCTGCTGCCCTTTTATCCTCTATGTGAAACATTATTTCTCACCAGATGCACCCTATGCTTGTAAAGTCTAATGTTTTTTCATGCATCTGAATAGAATTTAATTTTACCTCAGTTTGAAGGAGAAGGAAAAGAAAGAGGGTTTTGGCCATAACCAAGGCATCGGCTTCTAGAGTAGGGATGTGGCCTCTCTTATAAATTCTCTTAGGGAATAAATTGTTGGCAGTGATGACCTCTGGTGGTAATTCCATTACCTCATGTTAGGTGTTTTTTATGGCCAGGTCTCTCTCTCTCTGTTTATAGATACTTTATCTACTCAGAATTAATTTGGAGTTGAAACCAGTTTTTCAGAAACTGTGCTCTTATCAATTATCATTATTAGCCTTTCATATATAAAAGCTTAAGATTCAGTCAAATTAAAACATGGACAGTCAATTCTCTTTGTACCCATTTGGAAATCGACTAAGTAGACCCCATTAAAGACATTGAAGGTTTTACAACAAGTTGACACAAGTATTGGATAAAGATTTCTCAAAGAAACTTTGCCAAGAATTCATGTTCTATTTGTTGTTATAATGTGAAATTTATCTAATAGAGGTATGTACAGACCCTGGTGAAATGTATTATAGTAAAATAGTTGGCAACAATCACAATTTATTTTCAACTTCTGACCAATAGTGAAAGGGGAAAAAAATCATCAAATGAATGGTGAGGATTAATGGGGCTTCAGGACTATGACCAGAGGTCTTCTGGAATAATACCAAAATCCTTTGGTTGTTGTTGTTGTTATGTGCCGTCCAGTCGGACCCGACTCATAGCGACCCCTCCTTGGGTTTCCGAGGTATACTACGGAAGTAGATTGCCCTATCTTCCTTCCGAGGAGTGGCTGGTGGGTTTGAACCACCAGCCTTCTGGTTAGCAGTCAAATGCCTTAGGCACTAAGCTACCAGAGCTCTTTGGTAGTAAGACTTATTTAAAAATTGTTTTACTTTTGCTTTAGGAAAGTTAAGAACTAAGGGGGAATTAATGTTGTGTGTTTACTATGTACCAGCTGCTTATAGATATTATCTCACTTTGTACCATCAGTTACCTTTTAAAGAGTTGATACTTTTACACATTTGCTGGTGAGGCAACCAACGTCCAGAGGGGTTAAGTAATTTTCTGGACCTCAAACTGCTAGAAAGTGTTAGATCTGACTGACTGATTTTAATGGCTATGAACTTAGAGAGTTTTTTAATATACTTACATCCACACCTTTAACCATTAGTAGGCACAGGTTTTTGAAATAAAGGAAAAAAGATATAAATTAGTAAAATTATTCTTAGTCATATGAAAATATTTCCTTTATTACAGAATAAAGAACTAGTAAATTTGAGATTTATGATGTGAATTTCTAGTTATCTTAATTAGTTATCATTTTCAGGGACTTTTTTTTATTCTATCATGTTATCAAGGTGAGAAGAAAGTAAATAGGTGGCATAAGCCCTGCTATTGAGGCTTAAAGTCTAATTAGGATACATACACAAGAGACAGAAAATACTTGCACAAGCAAATATAATTTAATACTGTATAAGCCTTTCTACTGGGAGCTCTGGTAGCATAGTGGCTAAAGCACTTG